TGGGGTCACTCAGTGATTGCTCCAGCTTCCTTGTCAGCCCCCCATGCTCCACCCTTACCTGCCTCATCCTAGCTCAGCAGCCAGAGGACCCTTGAAAGCCACATCACTTCCTGCCATACCCTGGCTCCAAACCTGCCAAGAACCTACAGTCACAAGAGCTGGGGGTAAAAGCCGTGGCCTTTCTGGGGCCTGGGAGGCCTCATGCTGTCTGGCCTCCCTGTACTCCTCGAACCCCCATATCAGCTACTCTGGCCCCCCTTCACCAACCTATCAGTGTCCTTGCTGTTCCCAGCCCTCTCTCACCTTGGGATTTCCCTCTCCTCCTGAGGAACCAGGACCCCAGCAGGAAATGCAGCTGAGCACAGGAGGACAGAGCAAGCCCCGTGCACTGCTATAGGCCCTAGCACAAAGCACACGAAGCCAAGGTCCTCAGTCACTTCAATGTTTTATTTGGACCTCAAACTCTGAAGAAGTGGGCAGCACAAATCCCCTGTGGACAGGCATGGCACAATGATGGCAGGCATGAGCCAGGCAGGGAGTGGGCAGGATGGTGGACCCTCAGACAAACCCCACCTGAGCTTTCCTGTAGGGACTGAGCAGAGTGGAGAGTTCAGCCCATGAAGTGAGCAGCTCAGAGCCATGGGGGGCAGGGGCCCTGCGGGCATCCCTGGCTGCACAGTGGGAAGGCAATGGCCCAGGCTCCAGGGACAGGCACAGGGTCGCTCAGCCAGGCCCAGTCTTCCTGAGGAACGAGGCACCAGGGCATGGGGTGAGCAGGAAGCCATGTCCTGAATGGCAAGGGGCAGCCCAGGCTCCTCCGGCCTCCCTCACCTGCAGTTCAGCTGCTGCTCCTTGGGGGCTCCACTGAGGAGGAGGCCAGCAGGTGCCTGCTGTGGGTGCCTCTCTGTTCCAAACCTGAGAGGGGCAGGGCCCCCAGGCCCTGGGACCACTCAACAGGCTCTGGACCTGATGCACTTTAACGAGTGCCCTGCCCCTATCCAACCAGGCTACTGCAAGGGCCCTGGCTGGCTGTCCCATGGGCTCTGGCTGACCAGCCTCTAGTCACAGGAGCCATCCTTCCAGCCGTCACGCCAGCGCTCATCCACTTTTGAGCAGTCAAAGTCAGGCTTGCCCAGCTTGCGGTTCACCTCATTGTGCAGGTGGCACAGCCACTGCGTGAAGCATGCCCGGGTGCGGGTGTCTGGCTGGTTCCTGCACAGCCTGTGTAGGGAGAGCATGTGAAGAATGGGAGGACGCGGCGGCTCCACTGTCCCTGCCAGCTCTGTCTGCTCTCAAGGACGGAGAGCTGGGCCACTGTGCACTTCACCTCGGAGTGCCCTCATGCTCCAAGGGATGGGAATTCCCACAACAGGCCTGACCCTGCAGTTCCCTGGGTGTGGCGAACTCCCAGGGCTGCTGAAACACCGACAGGGCCTCAAAGAAAAATATTACAGCACAGACCTAGCAATTTTACAAGCTCCTAACACCGAGGAGGCGGCATCTAATGTCCCTGGCCCCAGGCAAAGTGTGGACTGGGTGAGGCTGGGCACAGCCTTGTAACTGAAAACTGGATTTGATTCTTAGCACCTGAGGCTCTGATGCCTCAGTCAGCAAGAGACTTCATTCCTACTGCCCAGGCTGAAAGCAACAGTGGCAGCTCTGCCCCACACATCTGGGCTAGAAACACCTGCAAGGGCCAGTTCTGGCTCTTGGATGCCTCAGTGAGGAAGAGGTGGCTCTTGGGAGCAAAAGTAGTGAATTTCCAAGATTTTAAAACCAGCAGTCCAGAAGTCAGGCAAAGTGGAGTCCTCCCTAACTTGCAGGGAGCTGCCTTTGGTGCCAAACAAGGCAGGGAAGCCCTTCCTGGGAGACCTGTGGCTGTGGGAGAGCAGTTCCCAGCAGCAAATCCCGGCAGCTTGGCCCCTGAGACAAGAGGAGGAGACTCAGATAGCCCCAGTCCTCACCTGTTGGTGGTCCCTGCTCCTCAGCAAGCTTCTGCCACCTCTGCACGTTTCTCTAGGTTCCCCGATATAACGTCATGTCAGGAGCCCCTGGCCCAGGCTCCAGTGCAAAGCTCTGATGCCTGCCAACACATCTTACCTTTTCCTTAGGTCTTCAGCACACTCCTCACAGGGATAAAACTTGGAAAACAAATGTATGAACTGGGCCATGTCTTGCTGCTGTTCTGGGGTGGGCAGGTCCGGGTAGTAGGCGGCCAGGGTGTGGAGGACAGCCCAGCTGTGGCGGCCCAGTTCCTCGCGATCCGGCGGGCAGTCCTCCCTAAATTTGCTGTCCCGCTGCGGAAGGCCGACCGAGAGTGAGTTCATTCTCCGAACAGAAGCGCCCAAAGCTCCCCCCTTACACGCCCAGCCGGTGGCCCAGTGGACTCCGGCCAGAGTCCTGCAGACGATCCGGCCCAAACGCGGATGAAGGCTGTAAGGCCGGACCTATCTGGGGGACAAGGTTCAGGGAAAGGCAACCCTGGGGAGCTCTGCCGGGGCACCTGGGCGGGGGCGGGGACTGCGCGGGGTCCGGGGAGGTCGGGCAGGGATCTGCACCTTCTGCTGCGTCCGCATCCACGTCTTGAAGTCCACGCAGGCCCGGCACGGCCGCCTCCGGGAGACGTCCTCGGCGACCTGAGAATCGGAGGTCGGCGCCTGGGCTGACCTCTCAGCCGCGTCTCTCCGCCCCGCTCCCCGGCCCCGTGCGTCGGTCGCCAGGTCGTCCATCACTTCGGAGCGCGCGCCACCGGGCAAGAAGAAATGCCCGCTATAGAAGCGGCCCCGCTCGCCGGGCGCCGCCATGTTGCCCGCGCAAGGTCTGCCGGGCTAGCTCGGCCTCCAGATGAGCCTCCAGGTCGGCCTCCAGGCCAGCGCGCGAAAATACGAGCCGGAGGCGCGCGCCGTGCTCGCCGGGGCCGGGGGCGGAGTCGGGAGCGGGGGCCGGCCAGCGGGCCCGGGTGGAGGCGGAGCCACAGGCCGCGGCGCTGGCCTGGGAGGGGACGGAGGTAGAGGATCCGGCCGTTCCGCGACCCGCGCCGGGTTTGCGCAGTCCGTGGCGGCGCTCGCCTCCTCCGGTAGAACAGCAGAGTGTGGCGGAAAATGCGCCGCGGCCATGCTGTGGACCTGGGCTGAGGCCCAGGCGAAGTCCGTGTCGCGGCCCGCGACGCCTCCATCCCTCTGCTCTGAGCGTCCTGCGTGCCCGCGGCCACGCTCTGAGCCCTCCGCTGAGGGGCGCGTCCACCCGCCGGGTGCTGGGAGCCCTGGCAACGCGGGGACGGCATGACCGCACAGAGTACGGCGCGCGCTAGGGCCCTGGGCTCTCGGCCCCGCCCCGGCGCCATGGCAACGGGCACCTGGCAACGCGGGGCAGGGCGCGGCTGCCGAGAGTTTGAGAGAGCCTCGCTCTCCGCGCGCCCCCGGCTGCCACCGATCCTACGGCCTGGATGAGGGGTCGGGGTCCCAGTTGGAGCGACCTCTGGGATTCCTCTGCCTCCTTGTGTTCATTCATCCATTCCGCTATTATTTGTGCAGTGGCCGCTCTGCTTCAAGCGCCGTTCCAGGTGCTGGGCAGAGCAGGGAACACGGCTCTGCTGCCTGACCTCCTCTGTTCATAATTCAATGGTCAAGACGTGAAAAACAAAACAAAAACGAGTCACGCTCATGAATGTTCCCGTACAAACTGGTGGGGCCGTGCAAGGGTGGGGTAAATCTGGAAGGCCTCCTTGAGGAGGTGATCCTTGGGCAGAGGCCTGAAGGATGAGGAATCAGCTGAGGAGCGCCTTTGAGACCAAGCTCAAGGTGGCAGGGTCTTAGCGTTTTGCAGGAACAAAAAGGCCAGTGGTCCCATCAAGTACCTGGTCAGCAGCTGTGGGGATTGGGAATTTATTCTAAGGGTACGTGGAAGATGCCAGTCAGTTTTGGGCAAGGCTACCCAATCTGATCCCATTTCAGTTTGCTGCAAAGATTCCTCTGGCTATCATATGG